GAAATATTCTAAATAACTAGTGCTAGACATTAATTACTGAATTAGAAGAAATGTAATTTCATTTTAGTAAAAATAATCGATTAGATAGGAAAATAAAGCACTGTAAAAAGTGCGCAAATAATTTTATCAAAAAGTGTTATGCAGTTGATTTATAGTTTGAATCAGCGATTCCCAATTTGCTCGGCCACTGAACCCTAAATAATCAAGATTCTTCCAATGGAACCCCTACTTCAGAATTAAAGTTAAATAAAAACAATTATGTATGTATTAACCATTAAAAGACTTTTGGACTTTTTTATAGTTAATAAAAGGAATGTTTTTCTCATTGTTTTATAACAAATAATCTTAAGTTAACTTATGTTCGACAGTTTAGATCGCCATCTTTAAGATTTAGCTAGTCTAGCTAAAAATTTGTTTTTACATTGCTATGAACGTTGAATATTAACGTTGGTTTCGTAAACATATTTCCTTATAAAAGAATTCAGTTATTATATTTTAACTTGAAAATAGCAATCTAAAATACTATTGCATTTTTTGTATAAATGCATGTCCTTTTCCTAATTTTTCATAGCTGTTGTTAGAATTTTTTTTTTCTTTAAATTTTTCATTTCTCTCTCTTTGGTATTTTATACAAATGCAATTTCACAAATGCAATCTAAATATTATTTGAATAATAGATAACTGATTGGCTCTAAATATAATTGTAGATTTCAAAAAAATCAAAAAAAGTTTTCGACCCCACAGAACCCTTTTAAATTTCCCGTGAAACCCTAGAAATCCACGGGATCTCATTTGAATACAGCTAAGTCAGTTTATACCATTTCTACTATTTAAATTTGATTTCTATTTTTCAATTAATTCTTATTTATGGACACAAGTAATAAAAAAAAGATTATAATTTAGTTTAATACAGCATTTCATATTTCAGTTATTAAATTTTTGTAATTATTACAAGTATATTAACAATGCCCTTTTTTTACTTTAACGACAAAAATCAATTTAATGTTTCAATATAAAAGAGTTTGTATAAAGTAAGTTACCTTTCATTTCAAAATAACTAAACTACTAATTAAAGGATTTTACTAAGTAATTTCAAGCAAAAAGTCATTTTACAACTCCTTGAGATTTATATTTTTGATTTTGAGAAAAGCATTTGTGAAATAAATGTAAAACACGTTACCTTAATTAATTTTCATTTTACTGTATTTCTATTGCACATCTGCGTATGATTAAGAGACTTGGTTTAAAAATCTATCTTTAACTATGACACTTTCTTAACAAACAGTCAATATATTTCTAAATTTATTTGCTCCTAAACACTCAAGTAAATACTCGTTTAGGAAACGATAATAAAATAAGTGTATCCAAAAAACTTTAAAGTTTAAATTTTAAAGAAAAAGAATTCCAAAAGTGAATTTCCGATAAAATAAAAAAAACATCAAATTATACAAATTTAACGACAAGTGTTTGTGAGTCCGTATTGTTTGATGTTTAGCGATTCGAATTCTTTCCACAAAACAAACAGCCGTAAATCATTTTATTTGTTCAATCACTTTCAGCTTGGTTTGATATCCAACCAACCATGTTATTGGAAAAGAAATATCCGTTTTTATTTTCTTTTTGTTAAAAATTCACTTTTTCCTTTCTCTTTAGTGGAATACTTATTGATTCTACAACACCATGTTAAGAAATATAACAAAACGAACAACCGTGTCCGTTAGAAAGCCAATGCAAACGTTAAAAATGAGTTTCGGATGTAAGATTTGCTTCCTAGATTTATTTCACATTGATAAATGCCTACACGCGTTTCTCTTTACTTTCTTGTTATTTTGTCGCGAGACCACTGAAAAATGACAAATGATAGAGAAACATTTAGATTTGTCAAATAATAGTGAAATGTTTCTAAATATTCATTAATTATGTAATAATTGCTGGAAATGATATATTTGAATCGTTGAATAATATAAGGAGGAAGTTACAAATTTTATTTCATAATATTCTAAACTCAGAAAACCAAAAAAAGTTAATCTCATCCAACAATATAAAAAAAATTTACTCAATTTATACACCTTTATATATATATATAT